TCGACACCTGTAATCTGTCATTTTTACTAGTATTAACTAGACGGCTCGACACCTGTAATCTGTCATTTTTACCAGTATTAACTGGAAGGCTCAACACTTATCATCTACACCACCTTTCAAAACTTACCACCATATTTACTCCTAAATCATTTCGTGAAAACTTGTTTCCCAACATTCCTTTCTCAATGCAAAGTTTTCAAATCAAATTTCAAACCTCATCATTATTGAATGAATCGATATGCCAATGCAATGATTAATAATACAATGCAATATTTCTTCCACTTTCAATACTTTCACACAATATTCTCATTGTGATCAAAATTCTCATTTCAATATAATTTCTCATGATGAATATAAATATTTTTATTCCAATTCATCCATGGGACAACAAAATTCTCACACTTAAAGTAATCTCAACCATTTAGTCATTTCAAGACTATATTAACATTTTTAACAACAATTTCCAAAACTTTAACAATTCTCATATTCCATGAAAACCATCATTTATATGTAAACAAATAAACAATTTTTCAAATATCATTTATTTTGGCACACAAAATAAATTTAACAACATCTTCAAAGATTGTCAACATCTTTCTTAAAAACCCCTCAATTTCTAGGTTTTCTCACCAAAACCACTCATCTTCATTTATTGAAAGAAAGTCACTAAAAACATCTCTCTTCAATCCTCATAGTTCAAAACTCTCAATTTCTATTTTAAAGGGATCAAGAAAGGAAACCCACTTTCAAAAAAAATCTCTCATCTTCTTGAACTAACAATCAATTTTCAAAACAAATCAAAGGATAATTTTGAAAATCATCTAGATCTTGCAAAAAATATATATATAAATTTGATGTTCAAAAGCAACATATTAGCATACTCCAACTATTAAGATAAAAAATTCATTTTTCAATTGTCTTGACTCACACAAAACTTTCAATAAATTTTATTCCACTTCAACCAAGATAACCAAAATAAATTTCACCAATATCTCATACTTATGAAATATAAACATTTTCATCCTACTATATTAAAAGTTATGATATAATTTCAATAACACACTTTTAACCATAAAGGATATAAACTTTTATCCAAACTAATTTAATCCACTAAATTAGTAATTTTCTTATATTCACATTTTTCCAAAAGAAATAATACCAAACATAATTTAACCAAACTCATCTTTTAAGCATAATCATATTTCATGAATATAACACTTTCAGAGTTTTTAATCCCAAAACAACTCTATGATATCAACTTAACAATTTACACGATATTCATCAACATCAATTTATTTTTCTTCTCAAAAATAAATTCCAAAACTCAAAGATGAGATAAATATTTCAACATTCTTTTTTCCAAAATAAATTATCTAACCATGATATGAGGTAGATACAACTCATACAACTATTAATTTTATTTTATTTTCAGATTTTTGACAAGTATTTTTAACATAAGATGATTTTTCCAAATCAATTTCAAAATAACAATGTTCTTAACACTTCAACCTAATTTTTCTTCCAAAAATTACCAAACAAAAATCTGAAAAAAATATATATATACAATACCTCTTATAATGACATATTTTCTCAAAATAATCATAGCATAGGTTTAATGTAAGAATATGAAGAAGGTCCCCACCTCAAATAATAAAGAAGAGCAAATCTGGAAGGCAAACATTGCCTGATCATGAATTCGAGACTACCATCGCGAAGAGTACGATGAGTTCTCTAACTTTCATTTACAACACTTTTGCAAAATCTCACTCTAAAGACTCCTACTCTAAGCTCAAAGATTGAGCATTCATGGGGGAAAGAGACGAAGCAGTGAGGTAGGGGAGGGAAGACCCTCTGTTCAACAAATGAAAAAGGAAAACAATAAAAAGGCAAAATAAAAGAGAGAGGAAGAAGTCTAATGGAAATAAGGAAAATGGAAGGGGAGTGGGGGACAACCCCACATGGGTTTGCTTCACATCACAAAACTTAATATAAAATATATTGTAAAATATTTTAAACTTTGATAACATAAATTATAAAATGATATAATTTTTCTCATCACAAAAATATAACATTTTTGTGCATCACAAAATATAATTTTTTGCTCACAACAAAATATACACCCATTTTTATTTACTACAAAAATATATAATTTTTCACCATATGGTACACACCATAAATCTAACTTTCAAATATATATTATAATCTTATATAATAAATAATAACAACTCCCAATGTGATCACTACCAATCACATAATTAAAATAGACTAAATAGTTAAACACGAGTCATTCACAAACTTAAATTAAATTGAATATAACTCATGGGTCTTGAATTAAATTTTCACCCATAAATTAAACATGGTCCAATTATATACTAAAATAAACCCAACAAATTTATCTCAAATCCAGGTCCGAACACCCAAAACTCAATTTCAAATTCTGCTATAAATTAAACTGAACACCAATCAGTCCATAAATTTTCATAAAATAAATACTCATCATTTAATTTTGAAATTTTTATCCAACGTGCTAGACTCATATGGGAACAACATATAAAAATTTCATAATTTTCTGAGATCGGGAACTATTTTTAAAAAATACAAAACCGAACTATTTTCGCACAGAATTTACACAGCAATCAAATTCGAAAATTTGTTCAATTAAATTATGCACTGGCTATTTAAAAAAAAAAAATTTGGGTCATTATAGAGTTTAAACATAATTTGTTATCTTTGAGAGATATTTGATTACTGACTTGATCGTCGGAGTGCCCCCAGGTGGACGAACCACCGCAGGATTCTTATCTTTCTGTGACAAGTTGTTCGGGCTTAATCTATTCTGCCAGTGCTATCCAACTGAGTTTCCCGTTTGGTTGTGTGGTAAAAAATCAACACTCACATAAAGAGTTTTGTAGTGTGTTATATTGGAGTGTTATGTTTGAAAAAAGTATATTAAGAAATTTGTGTATGTTACATTGATTGGAGTGTTATATTTAAAAAAAAAAATACACTAAGGAGTTTTTTTTACAATGTTACGTTAAATATTTGAGAAAAGTATACTAAAGAGTTTTTTAATGTGTTATATTGAAGTGTTACGTTTGAAAAAGTAAACTAATTTTTTTTTTTTTTATGTATTACATTAATTAAAGACTCTATTCCTAGGAATCTGTAGATCTCTCTAATCTTATTTTATTGCACAATTCTGGCCCAGTGTTAAGATCTGGTGTAGAGGACAAATTGGTGTGGACTTTTGGTGCCTCAGAGGTTTACTCAGTGAAATTAGTTTATGAATGGATTTCCTGCACTAACAGATCAAGTGTTCTAGTGCCTAGTTTGCTTTGGAAGGGCATCTCTCCACCTAAAATGCAATTCATCTGTTGGCTGGCATGGAGAGGCAGACTCAAAACTTCTGTGCTTCTTCAGAATATTGGAGCTCTTGATCCTAGTGGTCCCTCTCTTTGTTGCTTTTGTAACTCCTGTGCTGAAGATGTGTGTCATGTTCTTCTTCACTGTCAATTTGCTTGGCGAATCTGGTCTGACATGGTAAAATTGTGGAGTTTGGTGTGGGTTGTGCCTGATAATGTATCTCAGCTTTTGGATTGGTGGATTGGCTTTAAATTTAAGAAAGTGCTTCAGAGTATGTGGGATGCACTGCCATCTGTGGTTATGTGGTTTGTGTGGAAGGCTAGGATTGAGATCAAATTTGCTGGTTCTGGGGCTAACTGGTGTGAAGTTTGTGAGTCCATCAAGTTACACATTGCCTTTTTGGTGAAGTATCACAATAAAGGGGTGGATTGTTCAATCAATGATCTGTTGTATAATTTGGATTCCATCAGGGGGTTTTGAATTGTGGCTCTGCTACTGCTGTCTGGTGGGTGCTGGTGCTGTTGCTGTGTTGGTTTGCTGGGGTGTGTTGGGGTGATCACTTCAGTGCCCATTAGTTAATTGTTGTTGGCTATGCTGGTGTGTGGCTCTGTACAGTTGCTCTACTTCTAAGCTGATGGCATGTATGTGGTTCTGCTTCTGCTGGTGCTGCTGGTGTGTGGTTCTGCTTCAGCTGTTCTGTGGCATTCTGTGGGGTGATCTATTGCTTGTTTCTGCCTTGCTGGTGGGTGGCTCTGGTCTGGTCTACTGTGAGTGGTGATCTATTGCTTGTTTCTGCCTTGCTGGTGAGTGGCTCTGGTCTAGTGTGTGGCTCTGTAGAGTTGCTTTGCTGCTACTGTTGTGTGCTGCTAGTGTGTGGCTTTGTGCTGCTCCTGTGTTGGTTGGGGTGTAGCTGTTGGCATGCATTCGGGTGTTTTTAGTGTGTCCTTTAGTTGCATTTTGCTTCTGCTGTTTTTAGTTCCCTAATCTCTGAACGCATGTGTTGGGGTGATTTTTGTGTGTCCTTTAGTTTGATCTGCTTCTGCTGTTATGTGTTGTTGTGTCTTTCTTTTGCTGGTTGAACTCTTATCAACTAGCCCTTGGCTTGTGCTAGCCCTCTTTTGGGTGGCATTTTTGTGCCATCCTTGTTTTTTTCTTTATTGATGTAACTTGTAAGGTTTCCTCCTTGGTTCTTATTCAATAAAGTTCTTTTCGCTGATCAAAAAAATTAAAATATTACGTTTGAGAAAAGTACACTAAGAAATTTTTTAATATATTATATTTAAGTGTTACGTTTTTAGAATGTTACATTGAAATATTATATTTAAAAAAAGTACATTAAGAAGTTTTTTTGAAATGTTATGCATACTAATTTCAACATTATCCGAAAATTCACATTTATCTCATAACACATAACACATGCTTGTTTATACTTGGTCTTTTATGTAATTCATACTAGAATATAACCTTGAGTTAATACGAAAAAAAGGAAGACCAAACAGTTCATAAGATCACTATTCAAGATTTATTGGTGCTTCACTCATAAGTTTTTGTTTTTGTTTAAAATCAAAAATAAAAAAATAAAACAGAAAACAGAAACTCCTTTCTTGTTTGGTGTAAACAAGATACTGGGTTACTACTAGTAACAACAATATACAGTCAAAGAAAACAAGAATGCCAGTTGCAAGCCACATTACAAGATGCTGGATAAAAAATATATAACAATTTTTTTTTTTCAAATTCCATGATCATTTTGCTCCTAAAAATGATATTTCTGCAGAACAAAATTGAAAACAATACGAGACCATTTCATCTGATGTGCCCAGAAAGAGTCAGAATATCAGAGGTAGTTCTGTTTGGTAAAGACTGAATCATATGTTATGTCATCCACTGGGTCAGGCTTTGAATCCATTGAATATTTGAAATCATTCAATTTTTATTTTTTTTTTACCTGCATTTGCAATCGACAAAGTTAATGTACACAAACAACTTGATAATCGATAATAAAAAGCTTAATCTCATGCTGCTAAAGAGATTCATATATCAACAGATCATTTGAAAGTAAGATCAATTTACCCATCTACAGATGATCTCATACCAATGTTATCATTCTAGGGTTAAAGATATATAAATAATATATGTTGCATATATAATCATATGGTGTTACGGAGATGTAGTGGAAAGATTGTGTTGTATAAGTTTATGGTGTAGGTGGTTGATGGTTCGAATCTCTACAAGAGCAGAGTGTAATTTTTTTTCTTTTACGAATGAGCTTTTGGCAACTAAAAGGTTTGATCACCGATTCCTTGAGTATTGGCGACTAAAACATTAGTCGGTAAATGTATAATTTTAAAACATATAATTGACTATTGGCGACTAAAAAATTGGTAGGTAAATATATAATTTAAAAAATATAATTGACTATTGGCGATCAAAGTTTTGGTCGCTAAAGACTTTATTTTTGGCGACAAAAAGTTTTTTAGTCACCAATACCTTTCCCGACTGTCTTCTGGTGACCAAACCGGCGACTAAAAAATTTAGTTGGGGAAACTAAAAAACCGACTTTTGACGACTAAAAATTTAGTCGCCAAATGTGTTTTTTCTTGTAGTGTATGAGATTGTACATCTACATTCAAATGCTGTACAACTCATTACAGAATACTTCAATCAGGGAAAGCATCCACATTAGATATTACAATACTTTGCTTTCACATCATTTGAGCATAACCCCACACACACTCTTTAGATTGATCTTTATATATTTTGTCATTTCGATTATTCATCACAATTGAGTTTTTGGGTTTCCTTTCTCTGCGTTAAGTTTTTGCCAACACAATTCAGCCCCCTTTGGGGTTGCCCACCTGGTTAACAACTGGTATCAAAGATTTGACTCGTGATTTTGACTAAACAGTCTAAGAGTAAATTATAGCAACCATTGTTGGGAAATTTTTCTGCAGAAGACCAATCCACCAGCTAGACCACCAACATTATTTGATGGCACCAACTACACCTATTGGAAGGAGAGAATGAAAATTTTCATTCAATCCTAGTGTCATAGTCAATTGTCCCAAAGCACCGTCCAACACCATCCACGGACAAATCATGCCTAAAGGAAGAACGTGAGTGGGGTAAAACGACATGAAACCTGTTCAAATAACCTCTTTTATTGTGCTTTAGATCCTAATGAGTTCAATAAAATTTCTACATGTGAATCAGCCAAGGAAATTTGGGATTATAAAGAGATCACGAATGAGAGGGAAAATCAAGTCAAGGAATATAAGATTAGCATGCTTGTTCATGATTATGAGCTTTTTAAAATAAATATAATGAATCCATTTCTGAAATGACTGAATTTGCTTCCTCAACTAAATTTCTTGACATGGGCGAAAATTCCAGAGAACTTTTCATTATTGTTTAAGCAGCAGGGCTGATCAATAATTACATGGTCAGTTGGTGGCCCTACCTTCCAAACAAACCTCAAAATTTTTAAGCGCTCCACCTTCCTTTTAATTTATTAGAAGGATTTGGCAACCCAATAACCTTTTTGCTCTATTGACCAGTCCTTGCTGAAAATAATATCGGACACCTCAAGCAACAATAACGACCCACCATTCCTACCACCATCAAGATAAACCCATAAAACATACTCCAACAACACTTAAAAACATCAGAACTAAAAACAAGGTGAGGTTTTGAATAACTCCAGCAAATGTAAGATAATTAAAAGATGATACAAATATATCTATCCATGAAAGTATATATATGACAAAAATCTGAAATAACTTTGCCTATAAGAAATACTTTATCTAAACTCTTCAACATATTCATTTTATCTAACAAGATACTAAAAACATAATGTTTCCAACTTGAACAACACTAAAAAAAAATGAACTCATAGCTATAGTAATAACCCAAATTACACAATTCAATAGAAATTTTTAGTAAGCTCTGGATTGTACCTGGATCATGGCTGTGCATTAGTAGATGCCTGCACTGTAGGTAAGAATGGTTTGCTAAAAGGTCTGCAATAATTGATCCTTCATCTCAGACAATTGCTTCAGAAATTCAGTAGATTTAGCCCTTCTTTTTATAAACTCTGCCTCATAATCCTCATCCCTCGTACAATCCTTGCCCTATGCAGCCATTCAAATCTTTTCCCTTGACACCTACACCCCTGCCAAGGACACGACTGTGGCTCAGTTTCTCAGCAGCCACCTCACAATTATTCACCACGGAACTTTGAAAAGTGGCAGTGAGCCTCGTCGAATCGATTTGTTCCTGAAAAAATATATTAGAAACATCAAAAACATCACACAATAACTGATGAATGCCGAAAATTGCATAATTATATTGCTTTATTATATAGGCAAAGCAAAGTCACATTCCTTTTATGTTAATTCCTACCTTAAATTAAAGTGGAGTTCATGAGGAAAAGGTGGGCCTGATTCTTGGAAAGACGATTTGCCTGGCTCAGATGAAAACTAAGCCAAGTGAAGACAGGAGATGCGTTTCAATGTGTGGGCCCAGCTTTAGATACACAGTGTCAGCATGAATTAGGTATTCTTGGCCAATGAGGAAAAAGACTTCAGCATTTACTCTTTAGAAAAGGCCGTGGTGGGCCAGCATCAATCACAATAGCGTTTTAGCTGTGTGATCAACACACACATCGTAACAAAAGAGACCACATGCTGATTGGAAAAATATATATTAACGGTGGCCGAGCACTCCAGCTGAGCGCCACTGACACTTCATCACTCATGAGACCCTAAGTCATATGAAGTAGCAATTTGACTCTTTAACATGCTTTGGGCCATGTTCAAAATGGTTCAGTTCATATGAAGTAGCAATTTGACTCTATACTGCATTATTCTCCATAACTACAAATAAACACCCACGTAATCACCATTACATGCACGAAAATATAACTCACAAAATAATAATAATAATTAATTCTATTTTTTTCAACATCCCAAACAAGTTTTGAGCGATATCTTATCCTACATATATGTTTCTCTAGCATCCAAGTGCTAATCCCACTCGTTCTGAAGAAAGAAGTATTAGTGCCACTTCCACACCATTCGCGCAAGAAGTGGATGGTTCTCTGTAAGGTTCCTTAGTACCCATTATCATGAACCTAATTTTCATGAATACCCATTAGTTAACCCGTCATAAAAAATATCCATAAGTTAAATGGAAGTTTTAAAAAACTTACATTGCTTGGAACAACAATGGGTCGCATTTGCAAAAAAATAGTGTGGAGTTTGGCGTAGACCTCAGCATGTTGTGGAGGCCCCATTCTTGCTATGATTTCCATTGCTTCCTCTACCTTTCCCTTTATCTCTCTTAACTGGAGCTCAACTTCATTTGTCTGCCTTTGAATATCACTATTAAGTGCCTTTATTCGTGCTTGAAAGTCTAGGTCAAGAGTCAACCTAGAAACCACCAAATCAAATTCACAAGTTATCAATTCCTATTGATAAGAATTCCAACGCGTTACAACCTGATAACAATTCCCATAGCCAGGCGTGCAAATCAACATGTCAATCTAACCTTCTACAAGAAAAAAAAAAGAACAAGGATATATAACCATACATAAGTGACTACTATTCCATTTATTACCACAATCACTAAAAGTTACATTTATTTATTTACTTTTGATAGATAAATTTTTAATTTTTTTATGTTGAATTTAAGGTAATGAGAAGCATCATTAGGATTGGAGTAGGGATGTAATCACGTATTCAAACAATATATTGAAATAGCGATGCAGTTTGAATGATGCGCCAAGCCTCGGTAGGGATGTAATAATGGCCTGGCCACGCTGGCTTCGTGGGCTCCCGCCTTTTTAGTGGGCCGAGCCATGGGCCAAAAAGTGGGCCCAAGCCCAAGCCCACTCATAATAGGGCCTAGGGCCTGGCCTGGGTCGTGGGCCATGGGCCGGGCCTAGTCGGGCTTTTTTTTTAATTTTTTTTAGTATTAGGAATAAAAAATTAAAAATAATTATACTAGAGTATTTTGATTAAGATTAACGAGATGTTTTATTTGTTATGCAATGTTTCATGATGATATTTAAATTTAATTATGTATGATTTATGTTTCTTTAATTATGAACTTATAACTAAAAATGTATGCAATTAAGTAATTTTTTTTTATTTCAAAATGAATAATTTTATATATATGAAAATGAACTTTCAATATTACAATATTAAATTACTTATATAACATTTATTGAATGAATAATTTTTATTCCAAAATGAAACAAAATTACAAAAATTGATATTATTAAATAAATTAGGTGTAGATTACTGATGATGGTAGAGCAATTACATCACTATAGGTCAAGTACATCCTAACTAGGTTGGCACCTAGTAGCCTACCAATCATTTGCATTATACTGTACCTCAATAATCTTAAAAAAAAAATGAGATAGTAAAAGACAAACTGTTGATCAATCATCAGAGGAGACAGACATTTTAGTCGCATTGCCCGAGAATATGTCATCCAAATCATTTTGAATTCGCTCATTTTCACTATAATTTTGTCTTTTTGTAAGCGCATGCATAAGATCTCTAGATATTATCAGTGCCTCAACCATTTCGGATGAAAGCCTACTCCGGTAATCGCTCAACACCCGTCCACCTGCACTAAAAGCTATTTCCGAAGCAACTGTAGAAATATGAATGGTTAGTATATCACGAGCCATCTGTGAAACCATAGGCCACATAGTTTCATTTTGTTTCCACCATTCCAAAATGTCAAAATCGTCAGAATGATCTATTGATGGGCTTTCTAAATAACGTTGTAATTTAAAACTACTTACACTTGTATATTGAGATATTCTTCTACTTTTTATTGCTGAAAAAACACTTAATCTCCTACCTTGAGATGAGACTGCTAGTCTAGTGTGTGTAGGTGTATTTACAGATGCAGTTACCCTGTATTCTTCAAATAATTTGTTACATGCTTGCATAATAAGGGCAAATTGTGTTTGATCAGCGAAAATACGCTCTAAAAATTTTTGTAAACTAATTTCTTTACACCTAGGATCAATTATTATGGCTAAACCTAATAGATGAGGCAAATGACGAAAATATTTATCAAATTTTTCTTTCATTGAAGTAATAATGGTTATATAATATTCATTACCCATATATTTTATGAAAACTTTAATTATTTCTGCTAGCATGTGTAAAACAAATGGTGAAGTAGAAATATAAATATATATATGAAAATAATTTTGTTGAAGTATCAAAAACTTTTAAAAAATCTTTACACAAGGATACTTGGAGCCTATGTTGCACGGACACGGACACGCGACACGACACGGATACGACACGAACACGCAAAAAACGCAAATTTTCAAAAAATAGGGGACACGACACGCTGGGGACACGTTTAATATATATAATTAATTTTATTTATTATATGTCTAAAAAAAATTATTAATTTTTATACAACTACAATAATAATAAAATCAATAAACATATTTTTTTTTAAAAAAATAATAATAAATGAGTGTTTTTAAATAAAAACAATTTATTTTATGAATTTTAGGTTTAATAAAAATAAAGATAAAAAAAAGAAAAAAGAAAAGAAAAAAGAAAAAAAAAAGAGTGAAGGAAATAAAAGAGGAGAGAGAGAGAGAGAGAGAAACGTGTGAAATAAAAAAAGAGGGGAAAGTGAAGCAAAAGGGGAAAGTGAATCAGCCAAAGGGGAGGAGAAGAGAGAGAGAGAGAGAACAGGAGAAGTCGAAGAAGAACAGGGAGGAGAAGAAGGAGAAGAAGATGGAGACAGAAGAGGACGAGGCGAAGAAATGGAGACAGAAGAATACCTCAGCTTCTTCATTGATCAGAACAGGTTAGGCTCCTCTCTTTTCCTCTTTCTCTGTCTCTTTCTCTGTCTGTCTTCTCTTATCTCCTCCCTCGATCTCTGTCTTCTCTCGTTCCTTGATCTCTTTCACTGTCTCCTCTTCTCCCTCGATCTCTTTCTCTATTTCAGTTAGGGTTAGGGCTTCGATTCGATCCACCTCAGGCGTGTCCGGAAAGTGTCACAGCGTGTCCATGGCGTCTCCCACTGCAAAAATTCAAAAAAAAAAAAAAGGACACGTTAGAGAGAGTGTCGGACACGTATCCACCGCGTGTCCGACGCGTGTTCGTGTCCGACACGTGTCCGACACTCGTACGCAGGCCTAGGGAACGTGTCGGTGCTTCATAGCTTGGAGTTAATTAAGTTCAGTGCGAGTCAGTACTCCTCCTATTGATGTTGCAAAAAATAAATCTATTGCTCTTCTTTGTTTAAAAGTTGTTTTTAACATATTATATGTTGAATTCCACCTACTATCTACATCTAAAATTAATTTTCTAAATGGTATATTTTCTCGTTGACAAATTTTTCTATATTCCAAAATTCGATTAGCAGAAGACATAATAGTAACAACTGCATTTTTTATTACAAGCACAAAAGTTTCGTATACATGCATAGCTTCTTTAACAATTAAATTGAAAATATGGGCACAACAACGAACATGAAATAAATCACCATCAACAAGTAATTGTAAAGTTGATTTTAAATGGGTTATAATTTGATTATAATATGATGCACTATCTAAACTAATCGTAAATATTTTATTTTGTTAAGCCCACTCGTATAATACATTTCCTATTTCTACACCAAGCGAATGACTAGTGTATGGAAATTCAACTAATTTAAATGAAATAATTCTTTTATTTAATTTCCAATCATTATCAATAAAATGTGCAGTGATACATTAATATTCAAAACCATTATTTGACCACAGATCAGATGTTAAACAAACTTTTTCATTCAAAATTTTAAAGATGTCAAATAATTCACTTTTAAACATCCTCAAATTTTTTTAAAATCCTGTTTCTCGTAGTATTTCTTGAAAAACTTTGATATTGCAGTGCAAAACTTTCGTATATCATTTTTGTAAAATTGGAATATTTACTAGTAGTAAAAGGTTGTTCTTTTTTAATAATATAATCAATTACAAAATTTTGTGCGCGTATAGGATCATATGAAAATGTTTGTAAATTACCAGTTGATGAAGCCCCTAATTGCATCTGACTTCGAATATCAGGTTGTCGACTTTGTAAATGTTTGTTAGCATGCCTTTTTAGATGACTAGTACCCCTGCAGATACATCACTAAGTAAATGTGCACAATATTTACATTTTGCTTTAAATGTAATTGTACTATCAGGATTATTTATAGATATTTTTTCAAAATGTTCCCAAACACTACTACTTCTGCTCCTAGATGATGATCCAACTGTTGAAAGAGAGATATTAGAAGGAGAATCAACGGATTCATATTGTGTAGTATATGTATCAACATCAACATAAACATTAGGCATATTAGGATCCATAATAATGTAAGTAAAATAATATATACGAATTAACAATTAATTTAAATAATGTGTAAATACAATCAGTAAAAAATAATAATTAATATATGTGCACAAATGGTCAATGAAAAAAATGAGTAGCTAATAAATTTAATTAAACTAATTAATGTTATTGACTGGTGAATGCGACACAGAAATTTGCTTCTTCTGATAATTGAGAGTTGAGAGAGATTGAGAGTTTAGGAGAGATTGAGAGAGTTTAAGAGAGAGAGAAAGAGAATTATTTGTTGTGAGATTTATTTTGAAAAATGAAAGATATTTATAGTAATTTTAATTATGATCGTTTGTATATTACCGTTTGAAACTTGAATTGAGTGATTGATGAGGCTAGGCTAGGTAAAAGCTAGGCTAGTAGCAGCCAGCCACTGACCCACAGTGTCAATGACCATTTCTTTCTTTTTATCTCTCTGAGACTCTTTTCCTTCTTCTACGGATTGCTGTCAAAATGGTGTAAGTTGATAACTTAACATATATCATATGGATATAGGATGAGGCTTCATAGGTATTGTTGGGCCCTTGGGAGCCCACTACGAGTCACGTTTTGATAATCGAAACCGTTGAATGTGTATAACTCATCTAGTATTATATGTCTGTAAAAAATCACATTGATCGAATATCGATAACTATCTGATCGAATTAGTTTTTTTGTCAACTATTAATTTGTTCACTGTCCATTGTTTTGATACAAAACTGATATGATCATATAGTTATCGATATCCGATCAATGTAATTTTTTTCAATCATATAGTAATCGACGAGTTCTACACATTGAACACTTCTTTGTTTACAGGCTGTTTTTAACATATTATATGTTGAATTCCACCTACTATCTACATCTAAAATTAATTTTCTAAATGGTATATTTTCTCGTTGACAAATTTTTCTATATTCCAAAATTCGATTAGCAGAAGACATAATAGTAACAACTGCATTTTTTATTACAAGCACAAAAGTTTCGTATACATGCATAGCTTCTTTAACAATTAAATTGAAAATATGGGCACAACAACGAACATGAAATAAATCACCATTAACAAGTAATTGTAAAGTTGATTTTAAATGGGTTACAATGTGATTTTAATATGCTGTATTATCTAAACTAATCGTAAATATTTTATTTTCTTAAGCCCACTCATATAATACATTTCCTATTTCTACACCAAGCGAATGACTAGTGTATGGAAATTCAACTAATTTAAATGAAATAATTCTTTTATTTAATTTCCAATCATTATCAATAAAATGTGCAGTGATACATTAATATTCAAAACCATTATTTGACCACAGATCAGATGTTAAACAAACTTTTTCATTCAAAATTTTAAAGATGTCAAATAATTCACTTTTAAACATCCTCAAATTTTTTTAAAATCCTGTTTCTCGTAGTGTTTCTTGAAAAATTTTGATATTGCAGTGCAAAACTTTCGTATATCATTTCTGTAAAATCGGAATATTTACTAGTAGTAAAAGGTTGTTCTTTTTTAATAATATAATCAATTACAAAATTTTGTGCGCGTATAGGATCATATGAAAATGTTTGTAAATTACCAGTTGATGAAGCCCCTAATTGCATCTGACTTCGAATATCAGGTTGTCGACTTTGTAAATGTTTGTTAGCATGCCTTTTTAGATGACTAGTACCCCTGCAGATACATCACTAAGTAAATGTGCACAATATTTACATTTTGCTTTAAATGTAATTGTACTATCAGGATTATTTATAGATATTTTTTCAAAATGTTCCCAAACACTACTACTTCTGCTCCTAGATGATGATCCAACTGTTGAAAGAGAGATATTAGAAGGAGAATCAACGGATTCATATTGTGTAGTATATGTATCAACATCAACATAAACATTAGGCATATTAGGATCCATAATAATGTAAGTAAAATAATATATACGAATTAACAATTAATTTAAATAATATGTAAATACAATCAGTAAAAAATAATAATTAATATATGTGCACAAATAGTTAATGAAAAAAATGAGTAGCTAATAAATTTAATTAAACTAATTAATGTTATTGATTGGTGAATGCGACACAGAAATTTGCTTCTTCTGATAATTGAGAGTTGAGAGAGATTGAGAGTTTAGGAGAGATTGAGAGAGTTTAGGAGAGATTGAGAGAGTTTAAGAGAGAGAGAAAGAGAATTATTTGTTATGAGATTTATTTTGAAAAATGAAAGATATTTATAGTAATTTTAATTATGATCGTTTGTATATTAACGTTTGAAACTTGAATTGAGTGATTGATGAGGCTAGGCTAGGTAAAAGCTAGGCTAGTAGCAGCCAGCCACTGACCTGCAGTGTCAATGACCATTTCTTTCTTTTTATCTCTCTAAGACTCTTTTCCTTCTTCTACGGATTGCTGTCAAAATGGTGTAAGTTGATAACTTAACATATATCATATGGATATAGGATGAGGCTTCATAGGTATTGTTGGGCTCTTGGGGGCCCACTACGAGTCATGTTTTGATAATCGAAACCGTTGAATGTGTAGAACTCATCTAGTAATATATGCCTGTAAAAAATCACATTGATCGAATATCGATAGCTATCTGATCGGATTAGTTTTTTTGTCAACTATTAATTTGTTCACTATCCATTTTTTTGATACAAAACTGATATGATTATATAGTTATCGATATCCGATCAATATAATTTTTTTCAGTCATATAGTATTCGACGAGTTTTATACATTGAACAGTTCGGATTATTAGAACGGGACCCATGCGCATCCACCTTATTATTTGTACCATGGACATGGTCCATCATCACTGCAGTGCAGTCTGCCGATTGATTGAGCATGTATATATATATATCAAACTACGAGCATGTATATATATATATATATATCACTGTAGATTAACCAAATAAGTATACAAATTTTTTTTAAAATCTGTGTTTAAAAAATCATAACCCAACACAGTTTAGTTTGATTTTATTTTAATAAATTATTATTATTTTTTGTTTTTATTTTTACAAGATTACTATTTTTTTTTATAAGATCAATCTTTTTATTTATTTTTTAATTATTCAACCATTACAAATTGTTTTTTATTTTTTAAAATTTGATCATTGAATACTGATATAAAGAGGGCCGGAGGGCTGGGCCGCCCGCAGGGCTTGAAATTTTTTTGGGCCGGGTCGGGCCGAGCTCCAAAGTGAACGGCCCAGGCCCAATGTACTAGGCTCGGCTCACGCCCGGGCCGAAATGGGCTAGGCCCACCGCGGGCTTCGGGCTACCCACGGGCCTCAGGCTATTTTTACACCCTCAGATTGGAGTGTGGTATGTAGTTTATTTTGTCATAGTTGTTGTTATGCTGGTATTTGTCTCTTAGTTTAACCATTATTAGGTTGGACACTGCTTATCAATCAACAATTTATGTAATTATCCTATCATATTAATAAAGTTTTTTTTTTCCCTTTTTTCTTTTTATAAGAAACAAACTTTTATTCAATAAAGGAAGTGATTACCAATTTTGTTGGACAAACAGTCCAATGATACATAAATGAAACAAAGATAAGAAATAAACTCCACAAAAACAAAAATCACAAAACAAGCTGCAATCCAATCAGAATGAATACAAAGAAAGAATAATATTGAAAGTTCTTTGTGGACAAAGCTTGCAATGAAGCTACCAACTTAACCCTCTCCCGTAAATACTCCACTTTATCAACTTATATTCAAATAACGGAATATAATGTGGCATGTATAAGAAACAAGGTGCCACAAGTTAATTACATAATGTCAAAAAATCTTAGTAAGTCTTACCAGAATGAAAACAGTCAAAGACATCTCCAGATTGAATATGGATTAGATGTTACAAGTTCAACATACAAAAACTATAAATACATAATATCAACACTTCGTCTATTTTCTACCATTTTTTACTAGCTAATATTTAGTCCCATTATCAACCAATACCACAAAACAGTAGTACTTAACAATGCTGACCAGTCTTCACAGCATTCCAGAACAATTTAACATCCACAGCCAGAATATTAAGGTTCGACATATATGCACGCAACCAAATCTAGTGGTATATACTTTGACCAAGATAAAATTGGGAAAAGCAAATGTTGAAATTTGAGTTGGATCAAGCTTTTACCTGTGTTTCCTCTTCCTGCTCACTCGCCTTCTAGAGAATGCATCATTTGGTTTGTTGAGTAAGATTAGGTTCTCCTCGTAAGTATCAACAACAAAATGGTTTGAAGTAGCATAAATTCCCAAATTCTTAGTTTGTTGGCTCGAAGGGTCATATGAAGAAAGCACCCAATCACTTGGTGCTTTTGTCTCCAATAATATATGACCATTATTCTGTATACCTAATACCTGCGTAATTTCTCTGCTTAGATCAATTGTTAACTGCTTGTACAAAGAATCAACTACACCGTACTTTTTCATTATCCAAATGGAACAAGACTTGTACACAGCACTATCTTCGTAACATAACAGAGAAAGCAATCCCCCAAATACTGAAGCCCGGACCTCGGTTCTCGGGCCTACAATACCATCTGGTAACATCATCGTTTGAAACACCTCATCGCACAAATCAAACGACAAAATCAAGGGATCATTGGATTTCTTCATATTCGCAGCAAAATGAACAGCCCCTTCTAAATAAGCAGCGAATCGCCCCGAATAACCTATAGTAATTCCATCCGGATAAGAGTTTCTCCCCATGCTAGACATTTTCCATACGCCTGCATTAAGGGAGTTAACCTCAATGTGTGTTATTGGCTCCCCATTAGGCAGTTTAGTTCTGTTGGCTATTGTAACCACCTTATAATCATTGCCCCGCGGATCAAATCCAAACCCATGATAATGCATAGAGGTCTTGATCGTAGGTTTGGGCATGGCCATGGACTTTCTAATCGACAGGTTCCAAAGAAAAAACCGATCCTGTTCGAAAAGGCAAAACAAACCTTTCGCATACCCAATTGCGAAAAAAAAGTGAAGACAACGGCTCTTTATTGGGATTTCAAGTTCTTTGTATTCATGCAATGATTCATCAGTATCAATACACAATTTGTAGTGCTCTGTTTTGGTATAGGGAGTAGAAACACATTGCCTAAGTATCATGAGTGGGAGATTATCATAGCTGTTATTGTAGGTATTGGAAATGAGTGAGTGATTGAAGTGGGTGTTGATGAAACTAGGGCTTGTGATAAGAGAGTTCAATGATTTGGAAACAGACCTGAATTGGATTAGGGCTTAGGTGGGTAGTCTGTGGAGGATTTCAACCATGATTTCGTCTGGGAGAAAGTCCGACATTGCTATTCTTCTTCTTGTTGTTGTTGGATGCGAGAATGAGGAAGCAGATACAGATTCTGTGCCCTAAACCTAAATGTTTGAATCAACCTCAGCAGTGCTTTCTCTTCTTCTTCTTATAGGGATTGAGTTTGGGGCTCCCAAATTTTGGAATTGGATTGGGGGTTGTTGACGGAAATGCTTGGCCGAAAGGATATATTCCTCGGAAAACTTGGTTCAAATTGTTGTTGAGAGATGAGGTGGTTGTAATTTTGCATTTAAATTTTCAATTTTGTTTTTTTGATTGAAAATATTAAAATTGTTTAATGATTGAAGAAAAGTAATTAGTACTTTTAACGGTGTGGGTTGTCCTAAATAATTGGTAGATGTGATTAGTACACAATTATTCAAGGTTTGATTTTTGAATCAAATTGCAAGAAAAATAATTTTTCATGAATTCTCTAGTCCTAATATGGATGACCTGTGTGTAAACTGACTTAAATATCTCTGACTGTTGAACTAAAAAAGAGTAATTAGTAATTTCTCTAGTTCCAGCGTGAATAATTTGTCTTTAGCTAGATAAAGAAAAAAAAAATTAATCAAAGTGTGCGTAAATTGATCCAAACACTTCAAACAACTTAACTTAAAATATATATATATATATAGTTATTTTGGATTATAGGAAAAAAATTATTAAATTATAACAGTCATTAATTATTGGATAGGAAGAGCATTATTGAAAGAAAAGAAAGGAAAAAAAAAAAAAAATTCACATTGTTCATACCAATTCAAATATATATTTTATATCAGTAGGACGGTTTTACAAATTTTCTTTAAGAAGCATATAATAATAAAATATTTATAATTTTTTTACATATTTTCTAAAGACTTTTACAAATGGTAATATACTTTTTATATATATCTATGCACTTTTTTATGGAAAATGTTTGAGGGCCCGAATCTGCTTGGCCCGAATGCCCCGAATGCCCAAAACGACGTCGTTTTGGGCATTCCGTTTTTTTTTTCCTTTTTTTCCGCCATTTTCGACCTCTGCAATGCAAAAGAAGAGGGAGAGAAAGAGAGGGAGAAGGAGAGGGAGAGAAAGAGAGAGAGAGGTCGCCTCCCTCCTTCCCTTCTTCGTCTTCCTCCTTTCTTCTGCTGAAAAGAAAAAAAAAAAAAAATTTGGGGCATTTGGGGCGTCCCGTTTTCGGGCCCCCAATCACTACCGCTTTTTTATACATATTAAGACTGATGACAATCACTTTTCTTTCTATATTAATTGATGGAGCTGCTATACGATGATATAGTTGTATTCTATTAACTTGATTTCGATTCATTTAATTATGATTGTAGAAATTAAAAATCGAGATATCAAAATAAAATATTGATAAAAGTGTGAAATCTAAAGTAAAATTTTGATCTCTATCAGCGTTAATTACAATAGATGGATAAAAGAATAGCATTATTAATTTGACTAAAAATGTACATCACTATTAAAAAAAGAGATTAAAGTTAAATTTTAGTAAAATCGTAAAATGCTAAGTATAATTAACTTAATTTTTCTCTTTTGTGACTTTTTTTATTTTTTATTTTTTATAATTTGATAAAAGTGTGAAATCTAAAGTAAAATTTTGATCTCTATCAGCGTTAATTACAATAGATGGATAAAAGAATAGCATTATTAATTTGACTAAAAATGTACATCACTATTAAAAAAAGAGATTAAAGTTAAATTTTAGTAAAATCGTAAAATGCTAAGTATAATTAACTTAATTTTTCTCTTTTGTGACTTTTTTATTTTTTATTTTTTATAATTTGTTTACTTTTTAAGTATTTCTAAATTATAAAGCCTTGAAAAAATAATTGTTAAATATTTTTTTTTTTACTTTGACTACTTCTAAATTAGGGCTTTAAAAAAAACTAAAAATGATTAAATTTGGAAAAAAATTAACTAAAAATATAAAGAGGGAAAAAACAAAAGAGTCAAATTTATGTGGATGCCTCTTGGAAAGATGTCATATAAATGTCTAGTAAAATTTTTAGGAAAATATTTGAGGTATCTAACATTTTTGTTTAAAAAACCCATTTAATGCCAATAGCTCACTTTAATCACTCTAGTTTTTTAGTCAACTCTCAAAAGAATAAAGAACACCTCTCAAAATCTCTGCAAAAGGTACCATAAAATAAAATAAAATAAAATTTAGTGTTGAATAGAATTATGGGAAAGTGGTTTGGAAATACTCTTTCAATCTTGGGGGTCACTCGTGATCTTCAGTTAATCACTTGAAAAAGAATGAACACTCCGGTCAGGGGTGCTGGAATTAGCACTCCGACGGATAAGTCAATATTTACTCTCTCGGTTGCTTATGGCATAAGTAATATTCACTTGTTCTCACATACCTCTTTTGGCTGATACGCCTCTTATTTATAGTCGTTCTTGATGTTGATGGTTGGGCCCACTTTTCGTCCAATAAATAGTCACTCCCTCGGCTATATCTTCAAATTCGGCCCTATCTACAACTGATAGAGGCCAATCTGGTTATTCGGCCCTATCTACAACCGATAGAGGCCGATCTGGATATTCGGCCTCTACCCCTCGGGGTTGGAGCTGTATTGTACACGATCTAGTTGCCTTTTTTAATTTATTCGGCTATCCTATGTAATCACTTGTTCGGCCCCCACAATTGCCCCCCAAACATCCTACTAACGTCAGTTTAGACGACATGTTTGGTTTCGGACTTAGAGAGTCAAAAAATACGGCGGTTTCCCTTTTTCCAATGCAAGCGTCAGAACGCCTACTCTTTTTAGGCATGATTACAGTTTCTCGCCCCTTCGTACGCTTCATTCATTTAATACGATTTGAAACCGTGTTGTCTCTTCGTTTGTATGCTTTTTTGAATGCACAAGGCTTCTTGTTAGCTGTCAGTTCACCTTCTTCGCTTCACGCCTTCTGCAACTTCTTTCCGTTCCTCCTTGCCTTCATTTCTTATAAGTTCATCTATCTTCCATTTCGACTCCTTCTCCTTGTTTGTTTACTATTTGGAGTACCCATTTTAGCTTCTATGATGACAAAGCATCTGAGAGCCCTTCTTTCGGCGGAGCGAATCTCTGGTTTCTGTCGTCATTTCTCCATTCCTGACGACGTCCATCTGTCACTCTTGGCAGAGAACATGATTGACACAGAAAGGACTGACAAAAGTACAATTGTCTTTCCTCTCTTATCGATTGCTGAGGGGGGAGTCCGTTTCTCCCTTCATCCACTTTTAAGGACTATCCTTCGTCATTGGAGTCTAATCCCTTCTCAGCCAAACGTAAACTTTTTCCGAATAATAATGGGTGTTGTAGAACTAAATCGGCTCCTTAGGCTTAACCTTTGTGTCCCTGCCATTCGGCATTGTTATGCCTTGGCCAAATTCTCTAGACGGCAGGGGTGCTACTTCCTCAGAGCTAAGGACACCGACCATCACTTGGTCACTATGTTTGCCAGCTCTAGCAAGCGAGTTGACGATGTTATGGTTATGGTTCGTGGAAACTAGGAATTCGGCGAGGGCGAAGATCGCCAAGATCCAATGCCCAGGTGTAGGGGTGAACCAGGTGGCCGTTTAACCCCCCATGAATTTTTACTAAATATTTTGTATTCAAATTCCACTTATTTACCGTTTTAATTGTGCAGGAAGCAACTTGAAGAAAGTTTTAGTTTCGGCCGACGACGCCATACTTGCACAGATCAGAACGGTACTCCAGTTCGTTGGCCGTTCGAATCTCCAAAAACAAGGGAGGGCGGCTCACATTCTTATTCGATACAAGCCGACCTATACCACCCTTTCGGCAGCGGAACATATCCCGATCCCTAGGGGCGAACAACATCTTACGGCGCTTGTTTTTCCGAGTTTCAAGAATCTTAGGCAGATCGGTTTCAAGGAATCAGACTCAAAACCGGCGGCCGAACAAGTTGCCGAAGGAATCGAAGAGGAGCCGAATCAGCCATCTTTGGATGGATCCAACGTACCAGAGGAGGTCAACATGGCACTAAATTTTGCTTTGGAGGAAGTCGGCCTCAATCCTCCATCCACTTCTGATCGAGCGGACGTGCCTTTCGAGGATATCTTTACCGACTTAGGCGACCTACCCGGTTCTTATTCTGACAACATGGCTGGTGAGTCGCTATCTCAATTGGCCAAATGGAAAAATGCTAAGAGGGTGGCCGTGCGTAGGAGAGCCGAAGTCGAGCGAAACCAACCTCCACCCCCTCCACCCGACGCCAGGGAAGAAACTCCTCCACCTGCTCCTATCGAGGTGGTTGAGACCGAAGTAGCTGAAACGGAACCTGTTGTCGATCAACAGGAGGGTCAAGTGTCGAGCAAAGGAGGGAAAAACGCCAGACCGAGCACGAGGCTGACTATTCGGAACCGATTGATAAACGACCATGCATGGATGAATCTGACTTGGTCGTGCCGTTTACAGTACAACCCAAGATCAAGAACTAGCTTAACCTTGCCTCCATCCATCCATACACGTGTATGGACGATGGCTCAGTGAGCCACAACTGGCTCAAAAATATCTAAAATACTATCTGTTGAAACAAGGTGGCCGGTCGGCCATCAGTGGTGACCAGCAGTGCCTCATTGATCGTTGGCAGGCCTCATCAATGGCCAGTAGGGCTTAGACCATGGCCGGCAGCCCTTGATCATGGCTGACAGTGCACTAAAACAAGCAATAAGGAGGGACCAAAGCATGGTCCAAAGATGGGGCAGAAATGAAAATAGGGTTTGGAAAGCTCAAACCTGTGACGTTCCGCTGCGAAGTTCGAATGCTCGGCGAACAACCAAACATGTTTTGGATGTACCTGCAAGCACGACCAAGTCTTGAGGACAGTAAAAAATGGGGTGTCTGCAGTTGCCCCTCTTTGACAGAACTCGAAAGTCACAAAGTGACGGGAGTGAATGTCAAAGCCCAGAGACGACCCATTTTTGACAAGGCCGAAGACTCAGGAAAACATTCAATATAACCATACAGAGATACGCCAGCAGGCTGGGACAAAATGCAAATGACATGCATGATGCAAAAGCATAACTTATGATTATGCAAAGAAAGTTGTAATGAAGTATTTATGCAAAAATAAATACAACAATTTAAGCAAACTGACAAGTTGTAGAAGTCTCACACATTTCAACAGAAAGGATGTAAGAAAATTATATGCAATCTTAACCACAGACCATGTAGGAAAGACCAGAAGCAATTATAGGGAACACCCAAAGTCCC